TTCCTACCACCACCAACAACAACAACAACAGCCTCAAGCAATCCCACCAGCAAGCCCGCGAGAGGCGCGTCCGCCCGCCCCAAAACCCCCTCCACCACGCGACAGCGAGCGCCAACGACGACGAGAACAATAGCAGCGCGCCAGCCGAAACCCGAAAATGACCTCTCGAGCAAGGAAAAGGCCGCCCTCGCCACCCACGTCGTCAACGCCGGCCTCAAAGCCCTCACCGAGACGGCCAAACCAGCTACCACGGCGCCTCCGAGTCAACCCACCGAACCAGCGCCACGAAAGCGCTCCGACGCTGAACCGAGGAGGGGCCTCCGACGATCGAGCTCCATGCCCATGTCGCCCCTGCAGCCGCGCGCCCTGAACCGCGTCTCGACGTCCCCGATGCTGCCCAAGACGGCCACCGGCCGGCCGCAGTCGGCCCACGGCGGCGCCGCGGCGCCCAGCTCGTCTTCGTCGTTCGCCAGCGCGTGCCTGCCGCTCGTCGAGTGCCTGCGCATCTCCTTTGCCTGCCTGTGCTCGCTGCACGCTGCCGGCAAGGTGACGCTGCCTGAGGGCCAGCTCGAGGCCGGCATGTCCTCGTTTGTGACGAAGCTGCTGGGTCTCGGCCTGCAGGACCACGCGCTGAGGGAACTGGCCGTCTTGAAGAGGAGGCTTGCACAGCTGGACGCGACGAAGCCGAGCACCAAGACGGAAAAGGCGGCGGTGGCGGCTTCTCATGCGAACACACTGTCGACAAATCCGGCCGATCTTCTCGATTACGGCGCCATCAAGGCCTCTGGTGCGATTCTCGGCCTCGTCATCACGTCTCAGCTGCACGCTCTGCGACTCATCGCGGCGGCAAAGAAGCCTGCTATGGTCGAGGCGGCGGTGCCCTTTCTCGGTGACCATCCTTCCTCACCGATGAACCTGCTGTCGCGATATGCCAAAGAGTCGGCAGCGGCGAAAAACAAGGCGGCGCGCCAGCTTGAACAGTTCTCCCAGCTCATCTTGTCCCTGCCGCCAAGCGTGTCCAGCAAGGAGGATACCCTCGCCACCGAGAATCGCCTCAGCTGCTCACCGACGGCAGCTCTCCAGCTCCACTCTCTCGGCTTCGAATACCGCCTCTGCTGGTGGGTCATGGCCGGACACGAGGCCGACGTGGACGGCGATCTGATGCTGCCCCTGTCTCGCTGCATGGCGGCTTTCGTCCGGCGCTGCTCGACGCCCACGCCGGCGGCTTTCCAGGTCGCACGCGGCGCCTACACGCGCATCACCGACCTCTGCGCACAGCAGCGCCTGCAGCCCTCGACCTCAGCCTCTTCCCCGCTGGCGGCCATCTACCAGACCCTCGGCACCCTCGCGCAGAGCGCGCGCCTGTTCACCGAAGCCGCGGCCTGGCTGACACTGGTCAAGGGCCACCTCGACCCGGAGCAGAGCTCGGCCGCCAAACGCTGCTCGGTAGCAGCACAGCTGCTCGCTGTTCAGGCGAAGCGCGAGGACACGCCGACCGAGGAGCTCGAGTCTCTGCTCCAAGCGATCATCGGCGAGCTCAAGGGCACACTCAAAGGCGACTCGGCCGAGCTCGAGGAGCTCATGATTAACCTCACGGCCGCGAGGCGGTCAACTGTCGGCCTCTTGGTCCACAAGGAGTCTTCCTTACCTCGACATACGACCGCCTCCTGTCACGACTTTGTCCTGCAGTTTCCGCACTTTGCCCTGCGCTGGATGGGCAAGGCACCGGCGAGGGACGCCGACGCGAAACACACGATTCGCTACGACCAACGACGGCAGACTCTCCTCGCGACGGCCACGCAGATTATGGACTCGGCCTTTGTCGTCCTCAAGGCCAAGATTTCGAAAGACGACATGCCGTGGACTCAGCTCGACGGAACGCTACAGGACTGCCTTACGCTTCTTGAGCACCTCGGCGAGACGAACCTGCTGCAGAAGAGCGACGGCGCCAACACGTACCCTGTCAAGGTCTCCTCGCTCTACTACTACCACGCCGATCGCGTCCAGCGCAGCGGCGGAGGCGAAAAGGAGGACAGCAAGGCCGTTCTGCGGCCCATCAAGCGCTCGATCGAGGCCGTCGCCGACCGGTCGCCGCGCGAAAAGGAGCGCGCCCAGCTCGTCAAGAAGCTCGAGCGCTTTTCCGAGCTCTCGCGGGCTTCTGGGCGCCTCGCCGAGGCCCGCGACGCTCGTAAGGCCATCTGCACAAACATGGTGGAGGACGGCGTCCTCGCGGCCGTTGCCGCGAGCCTCAATGACAAGGCGCCCGCCCTGGCCTGGAGGGCCGACGCCAAGACGGAGGCGCTGTCGCGCACGCTGGCCGCCATGGTCAAGCTCGACCAGGCCTGGAGCGACTGGACGTTTTTCCTCGCCGAGCTCGAGCGCGCCGCCGTGCTCGAGCACCTCATCCAGATCATCGTCTCGGATGCCGC